GTGTTAAACAAGATAAAGGAACCATAAATTTATTTAAAGTTCTGTATAATTATGAATTTGGTCCCATAGAAACAACTAAATATGGTATAACAAATTTCATTCCCATGAATAATTTAGAAATTTCCTAATATGTTAATTCTGATGGATAAGCATCTTAATGAATTGCCAATTTCAACAAACATATTATATTAGGATTGTGTTCTGAAATGTATTTCATTCTATCTATGAATTCAATAATCTACAATTTTTCTGTTTTTTCAAATAAATGTTAAGACAAAATGATAGAATTATTATAATTTTGTGAAATCATTACATTATTAAATTAATCCATTTCAATATCAAAATAATCTCCGATAAAACTATTTTGCCATTATTCGATTATCTTAATATATTATGTTCCATTATAAAATCCTCCTTATGATTTAGTTCTCAAAGTAAATATTATTGGAATATCAAGATAAAATTTGATGTTGTAAATTTATTGTCTGATTTAATCAAATTATTCTTAGATGTTTTCAATCTTGTCCATTCTTACTTCTAATAAATTATGATTTCTATTAATGAAATGTATTTTTTAATGATCTAAAATTGTTAATTCCTCATAAAATATGCATGCAAAATTAGTATCAGAAACATATATTTTGTTTCTTGGAAAATTCAAATGTTAAATGCACTTTATAAAATGTAAATAAAGTTCATTTATTCTTTAATAATATCTTGTAATATCATAATTAGATGTAATTTTTTAAATATATTTTCTGCTTGGCAATGTAAAAATATATTTACTGACTCTCTAATATATTGATTTTCTTCTATTATAAATCTCCATAACATTTCCAATTTATGGTCTATTTTATGATTATAAATCTTCAATCAATTCATTTATATCCTTTTCAATCCATATTACATTTTTACCAATCAATAATTACTATATTTATTCATCCTCTATAATTCCACCTCCACAATCAACCACTACATTCTTCTAATATTTCAATAATATTTATATAAATTATTCCTTCTCACATTTTCTAAATTATTCCCATCCATACTTTGTGACAAATTCATTTATATTATTGGATATCAAATTATCAATGCTAATATATTCAAAACCTAATTGCTTGCATATATATTAAGATAGAGTACTTTTACCTGCTCCTCTCATACCTATTATATACAAGGGTTCCTTATAATATTAATAATTGTATAAGAATTCTTGTTCTTAATTATAAGTTAATGCTTATTATTATAAACCTAAACTTTGTATATGATTATAAAAATCTGGAAATGTCTTCCTTACACAATCTTTATTATCTATTATGATTCTATATTAATATTGCACTTTCTCAAAATGTCCTCCCAAAATACTAAATGCCATTGCAATTCTATGATCATTATATGTATTGATTATAACATCTTTTCTATAACCATTATATTTTTGATATTTTTTGCCTCTAACTAAAATTTCATTATTTTATTATAAACAAACCACTCCAACCTTAATTAAATTTTCAGTCACAGCCTTAATTCTATCACATTCTTTAACTCTTTAATTTTCAATTCCTTTTATAATACATTAACCTTCAATAGAGGACATCAACAATGCTAAAGAAATAAAAGTATCACTAAAATTAATGCAATTCACATCTTAAGGTTTTAAGTCTTAATTCTTGATTATTTTGTAAAATCCTTATTCTCTCACTACTTACATGCCCATCTACTCTATGACATCCAAAAATTATGCATCTCCCTATAATTTGGATATCTTTTTGGTTTCAATCGATCCACCATTTAATCCAATATGTAATAAATCATAACTCAATGCTGTAGCATCTGGCTCAATATCATAATTTTATGCTTTATAAACTCCTTTCCTTACTAAAAATTTAGTCTTAGAGATTCTTTCAACCTTTACTCCATAAATATTCATAAGTTATATAGTCATTTCAATATAGGATTCACTAACAATGGTTTCATTTTCATTGCAATCTATAATTTCGATTAGTGTTTCATCGTTTGGAAAATAAGGAGCAGACATTAAAATTCCAGATACAAATTGACTACTTAATTGAGATTTAATTTTAATATGTTTACCAAATTGACCATCAATTACTTTAAAAGGTAATTATCCTTCCTTTTATAAATATACAACATTTAAATTAAGTGCTTCTACCATTTCTTAAATTGGTCTTTCATAAATTCTTTATGCTCCAATGATAGTAACATTTCCAATTAAGGCAGCAATAGGGAGTAGAAATCTGGCACAAGTTCCACTTTCCTTGACATTTATTGTGTATTCCTTTTTATAAAATTAACCTTAACATCCTTCTAGAATGAGATTATGTTTAGAGTGTGTTTAAATTTCACATAATCTTAAATCTTATAAAGAATTTAACATAGCTTTTGTATCATCTGAATCATAAAAATTACCTAATGTACTTATTCCTTCTGATAAGGAACTTAATAAAAGGACTCTATTAGTAATACTTTTAGAACCATGTATTGGTTTGCTTGGTCTTATGTCTTAACATACTATTACACAAGATTTTACAAGTATTTTTTTAATAATATCCATTTTAATAGGAGTAGTGTTAAATTTATGTTTACCAATTTCTTAAATAAATACAAAGTTGATTTCATGTTTGACTACTTTTTTATCAAATTATAAATATTTTAAAACATCTTATATATTTACATATTCTGGTATTTCAATAGGTAATTCATATTTTAAAAGTACATTCCTAATTCTATTTTCATATGATGATGTATCTATTCCATGTTCTTTAGCCAATATATTTGCCAAAACCATACCAATAGATACACATTCTCCATGCAATAATTTACCTTGACTTGCAAATTCAACTGCATGACCTATTGTGTGACCATAATTTAATATTTTTCGAATATTTTGTTCATATTTGTCTTCAGTTACAATACTTAACTTTAAATTAATTCCATATTTAATAATATCTAATAAACTAGCTTAGTTATTTGGATCCATTAAATAATTATAATCATAACATTCTAATCTCTCAAATAATTTTCTATCAAAACAAGCTGCTATTTTAATGATTTCTGCCAAACCATTTAGAAAATTTCTTTTATCTAATGATTACAAAAATTAACTGCACACTTTGATTCTATAGGGATCATTTATTACTCCTAGTTGATTTTTACCGTAGATGTTGTTGATACCTGTCTTTCCTCCTACACTAGCATCTGCCATTCCCAACAACGATGTGGGAATCAAAATGAATTTTATTCTGTTGAATAGTTAAATATACCAAACCCTCTCATATATATGCTGGACACGAATCCAACCAAGTCAGTCACAACTCCTCCTCCGACTGCGATCACTAAATCTTATCTACAAAATCTTTTGCTAAATAAGTATTCTGCCACTTCATTTGCAAAATGTAAATTTTTAGCTCCTTCTCCTACTGGTAATATGAATGTTATCGCTTATGGAAATTTTTCACATATTTATTACAAGTAGAGCTATGCAATATTTGTGTCTGAAACCTAATGTAGATAATGTAGTTACAAAACAGATTTATGGATTTCGAAGGTCTTGAATAGTATTTGCTAGGGAATCAAGTGTTTCATTAAGTGTGTTATGATAGTCTATTAGTGAGTTTTCTTGATCAAGTTATTCTAAGTTAATGAAACTCATAAATTAAAAACGTATTATATATATATTACTATCAAAAACGGGTAATAAGTGTAAATCACATGATCATGGTTGGATGCATAATAAATAATTAAAAAAATGGCTAGATCATTAACAATATTGGCTATTGTTATTGCAGTTGCTACAGCACGATTGACAAAGACTGAAAGTCCAAAAGAAATTTTGGCTTAAGTCAACAAGGATTCATTTGGTAATTCCATCCTTTCAGTTCTCCAACTCTAATTGGCTACTGGTGGACCTGTTGGTGAGATCTAAATCCTCTTAAATAACATTGCTTCTTAATTGAATGGAGATTAAAAGAAAGCTGACAAAGTTCATGAAAGTGACACTGTTGCATTTGAGAAGATCATTGCTGACTTAGAATAAGAAATTGCTTATCATTAATCCTAAATTGTTGCCCTCTCTAACTTAAGAGATTCAACAACTGAGGCCTTAGGTGAAGCTGAAGCTGAAGTCAGAGTTGTCACATCTGATATTGCCAATAACGAAAAAAGCTTTGCTGACGAATCAGCCACTAGATAATCATAACATGAAACATGGGTTAGAAAAGATGCAGAACATGTTGATTAAATGGATGCCATCGATGAAGCCTCAAAGATTGTTCAACATTTATAAGCTGGTGTTGCTTTTGCTTAACTCAAGAGCAGATTTGAAAAAGTCTAAGCTAAATTGATGGAAAGCAAACATGCTCTCTTTAAAGTATATTATCATTTGCTATTATTTTACAGCCACTCATCAATGCTTTGACCTAATTAGCTTCCAAGGTTGACAACAAGAGTATCATCAAAATCTTAGAACTCTTGGCTTAAATCAGATAATAATTAGTTGCCAGTAGAGCTTCACTCCTTGCCACTGAAGAAAGATAAGCTGCTAATTGGGAAGTCTAAAGTAGTCACTTATAAGAAGAACACAAGAGATTAGTTGAAAGAAAGGCTTTCTTGGAAAACTCAATTGTCTAATTCAAAGTCACCATCTAAGAAGCTGTTGAAGATTTAGAAGATTAAACTGTATTATCATAAACTAAACATAGTTATTCCTTGAAGATGCTGAAGATTCATTGGCTATTCAAGAAAGATGGGCTGCTGAATAAGAAGCTTAATATGAAGCCTAAACTTTCGAAAGAGAATAATAATTGGAAGTTGTTGAAAGATTATAAGAAGTCTTAACCTAAAAATTAAGTGCAGCTTCAGAATTCCTCTAAATTAGAGAAGAAGTATTTTGATTTATCATAATAATAACAATCAAGATTAAAAATGTTATTTTCTTTTTTCAATTTTAATTCAATTATTATAATATATATGAGATACTAATTTCAAAATAATTAATGTAGATATATTTCATAATTATTTGTTGCAAATATAAATTCTTAACCTTTTGCAAAACAAATAGATTCTATAAACTTATCTTATTTATATTCATTAAAGCATTTCCATTAATTTTATTAATCTTTTTTCCATAATTAAAGCACATTAGTTTCTCCTCCAATTGCTAAAATAGATAATTTATGATTAAATTTAATTGTTCTAATTTTAGCAATATTATTAAAAATCTTTTGAATTTCATAATATTCTTTTTATTTTTAATATTAATTATTAAAACAATGAACTAAACCATCTTTAGTACAAATAATTAAATCTTGATCGTATGCACCAAATATGATACTTTTTGGAGTATTATACAATTTTAGTTATTAAAACAAAACTAATTTTGCATCATCAATTTTCCATAAAGTTACTTTTTAATCACAACCTCCAACAGCTAATATTTTTCCATCATTTGATATTCCTAAAGTTGTAATTAATTCACTTGATTTCTCTATACAGTATTTTAATTCATAGTTCAAATTTTGTTATTATAATGCAACAATTCGAGTTCCCTCTGCCAAATAAATATGGTTTTCAGTTGGATTCATAACAATACATGAAATTCTTTAATAACCAAGTCCTGGCTGAACTTATGTTACATATGTTTAGTTAATAATCCAAGAATCTTCTTTCAAAACCCATATTTTTAATATAGCCATATTTCTTTTATTTTAATCTGATCCACTTGTTAATAGAATGTTTTATAATTTACTGAATGTAAAATAAACTAAAGATTTTGTATAACATTCACAGATTTGATATTTAATCCAAGTATTTTAAATACTATCTTTTTTCCAAAACAATATTTCTTTACATGGTTCACATAATCTTGCAGCAAGTATAGTTTAATCAAAATTTAATTAAATATCAGCTATTGGTAATTTGGAACTGGAACCTAATATTTGTCCCTCTTAATTAAATATTTAGATATCACTATTTTTAATCAGTTTAGCCTGGTCAATCTCTTCAATTTTTTAAATATTATTCTATATTTAAGAATTAGACAATTTATTTTAAACAACAAAATTACTTATCATTTAATTTAATTACATTACTAAATCTAAATATTAATTTGATTCAGCTTATTTCTAATCATCAATAGCTTAAATTTTCATAGTTATTTAATTATCTAATCCTTGAAAATCAACCTCTTCTGAAATACCTTATGTTAAAAACTCAAATTCTTAAAGCCCAATATCTTTAATTGAATTATACGCAGCATACTATATTTGAAAAAATATTTACTTTGTAGTTATATGAATAGATAATTTGTATGTATGATTCTAGGTACTTAATCAAATTTTTATCATATTTTGGTTTAAATATTGTCTTCTAAATTTAATCATTCATTTAATTAATTGTTGTTTAAATACTTTAATATATTTCCTAATAAGCCTTCATAATCTAATCGTTATCATTCTTAGTAATCTTAGAGAATTGTTCACAAAGATTATTGAATTATTGAATTGTAACACAGTATTGATTTTATTTGCAATACTCACATTTTAATCTTGATCTATCTTAACATACTTTTGAAAGGTCTAAAAAACTTACAGGTTCGTTATGTAGATAGCATTTAATATTTCGATTGGATAGATAATTAACTAAAGGACTCTTTTTTTACATATTGCTAGTATGTTATTAAAAAATTATGAAAGTAAAGTTGTTATTAAAGAATTTATATAGTAATATTTTAGATAATTCAATTAGGTTTTATCAATAATTGCATTTAAATTCATATTAAATTTACAATTCATTATTGATATGAAATGATAATTCGATTTGTTATCATTTCAAGAAACAATTAAAATTTGATTTTTATGTTTGTAAATCCAATAGGTAATTCTTAAATTTAATAATAAAAAAGAATTTTAGAATATATGAAATGAATCATATTTCTATTTAAAAATAAATATAATATTATCTTTTATTCACATATTTANTTTATTTTAATCTGATCCACTTGTTAATAGAATGTTTTATAATTTACTGAATGTAAAATAAACTAAAGATTTTGTATAACATTCACAGATTTGATATTTAATCCAAGTATTTTAAATACTATCTTTTTTCCAAAACAATATTTCTTTACATGGTTCACATAATCTTGCAGCAAGTATAGTTTAATCAAAATTTAATTAAATATCAGCTATTGGTAATTTGGAACTGGAACCTAATATTTGTCCCTCTTAATTAAATATTTAGATATCACTATTTTTAATCAGTTTAGCCTGGTCAATCTCTTCAATTTTTTAAATATTATTCTATATTTAAGAATTAGACAATTTATTTTAAACAACAAAATTACTTATCATTTAATTTAATTACATTACTAAATCTAAATATTAATTTGATTCAGCTTATTTCTAATCATCAATAGCTTAAATTTTCATAGTTATTTAATTATCTAATCCTTGAAAATCAACCTCTTCTGAAATACCTTATGTTAAAAACTCAAATTCTTAAAGCCCAATATCTTTAATTGAATTATACGCAGCATACTATATTTGAAAAAATATTTACTTTGTAGTTATATGAATAGATAATTTGTATGTATGATTCTAGGTACTTAATCAAATTTTTATCATATTTTGGTTTAAATATTGTCTTCTAAATTTAATCATTCATTTAATTAATTGTTGTTTAAATACTTTAATATATTTCCTAATAAGCCTTCATAATCTAATCGTTATCATTCTTAGTAATCTTAGAGAATTGTTCACAAAGATTATTGAATTATTGAATTGTAACACAGTATTGATTTTATTTGCAATACTCACATTTTAATCTTGATCTATCTTAACATACTTTTGAAAGGTCTAAAAAACTTACAGGTTCGTTATGTAGATAGCATTTAATATTTCGATTGGATAGATAATTAACTAAAGGACTCTTTTTTTACATATTGCTAGTATGTTATTAAAAAATTATGAAAGTAAAGTTGTTATTAAAGAATTTATATAGTAATATTTTAGATAATTCAATTAGGTTTTATCAATAATTGCATTTAAATTCATATTAAATTTACAATTCATTATTGATATGAAATGATAATTCGATTTGTTATCATTTCAAGAAACAATTAAAATTTGATTTTTATGTTTGTAAATCCAATAGGTAATTCTTAAATTTAATAATAAAAAAGAATTTTAGAATATATGAAATGAATCATATTTCTATTTAAAAATAAATATAATATTATCTTTTATTCACATATTTATAGTAAAATTCTCTTGTTTACTTGTAGTGTGAATTTTATTATGTCTTCAGATAATTTTTTTAATAAATAATAAATATATTACCAGAATTAATTACATAATAATAGCTTATGTATTAAATTTTCAGAACAATGAAAATGATGAAACAAATCATAAGGCCAATTAGAATGTGTACTCCAATAATAGCAACAAATAATTATTTGAATATTTACAATTTGAATTAATTCTTTCTAAGCATGTCATTATCAAATAATGATGACGATTTAGAAGCCCTCAATGTAAAAGAAGAACACAATATTCGTAGGTTAACTAAGAATCGGATGTCAGGTGCCCTCAGATGATTATTTGAATTATTCATAACATTACAGATTAATAACCATTTTATCAACATTTGAATTTTAACGATTTTTTTGCAATTGAATATTATAATTAATGCAATTACAAAAGAAATTATGCTGGCAAAATAAATAAAATTTTGTAATCATTTATTCTTCTCTTTATTTCTTAAAATATTTGTAAAAATCTCATTTAATTAAATATATTTATAAATCTTACACAATACCTAATGAATTACACAAATAAATAAGATACATAAATATCTTTATCTTTAAGTTGATCTAATAATATTTTTATCTATTATTAGTTTAAATACTTTAAATAAATAATTACCTGATGTTGATCTTAATTTTTTATTGTTTATCTTTAACAATGGGACTGTCTCCTTTAGTTTGTGGGGATGTTACATAAGAAAAGGATTGTTTAGATATTATAAATGGAATGTATTATATACAAATAATTAATTAGATATCAATGCAAATGGACTACAAATGGTTGTGTTAATATGAAATGTGAATTGGCTACACCTCCATGTGATTAATTGATTTATGAAAATAAAGCTTGTTCAACAAGTGGAGCAAATTGTGTTTCTGTTTCAGAATGCTCAGAGATAGATAATTAGACCTCTTGTGGAGTGGTTAAAGCAGGTGGTATGGATTGCATTTGGGATACTAATTGCAGAATAAAATAATGTTCTGATTATGATCAAGCAACTTGTAAAGAATCTAATGGAGATAATTGTATTTTCAAAGATGGAATATGTTAAAAGTTATTATTATGTTCTGATATAATTACTGAAGAATTATGTAAGAAAATTGATTTAGATGATTAATGTGCATGGATAAATAATAAATGTGATATTTTTGATTGTAAAAGTTATACAAATTCTAATGAATGCTTTTCTGCATTTTCAAGTACTGATTCATGTTTTAATGGGGCAACTGATAATAGTAGTGTTAAGTGTATGAGTTGTTTTTCTTTGACAAACTAATGTGATTGTGAATAATATGGTTTATATGGTTGTAAATGGTAAACCTAAACAGGTAGTTGTTATCGTTAAAAGTAATTAAAATAATATAAAATAGATGTGAAGACTTTGAAGATACAATCACTTGTTAATAGGCTTTTGATGGTTTGACTTGTGTTTGGTATAATCCTATGGATTAATGTAAATCAATTGCCAATGCAAATGAATTAGATAGATAATGTGATCTTTATGTCTTTAGTAAGATTTTAATATTTGGATTGATAATTTAGATGATCATTTATATATGAAAATAATAATTTTATCATATCATAAGAGTAATGGTGATCTTTTGTTATATAATCTCTTAATATACCAAATCTGCCAAATTGTAACTAAAACAATGAATATAGTTTCAATAACTGTAAAAGCATATATTTTTTTATTGGCTTCTTTAACTTATTATGTTGATGATTCATATCTGATTTATTAAAATTTATGATCATAATATAATTCTTAAAGTCCTATATGTATATAATCTATATCTAATTCTAATGGGTCAATATCTGTAGATTTGATTTTGTCCTCTTTTTCTTTAACAACATCCACTGCATAAGTAAGTAATTAATTAGCCTTTTTTTTATTGTTAAATATTATTTAATACAAACCAATTTCATTAGCTTAAACAGTGAAATTTCCTTTATTTGTTGCCATTTTAGAATAAATGGTTCTTCCAGTTGGAGTTTTAACTGAGAAATCAATCACATCTTTATGATGATTAACTTAATATGCTCCTTTTATTAAAGTTGGTTCAGTTATATTCTCTAATAATACATCCTCTTAATTTGCAGTTAATGTGAATGTTATAATATCATCAGGAATAAAATCATAAAAACAATATACACTTACCAAAAACGTGGCATAAATAAATAAATATTTCATTATAAAAAATAAATTAATTAAATTTCATATATAATTTCATTCCATTTGTTCAACATCTTATGTATTATCTTATATTCTGAATCCAATCTATTTTTTTAAATTTTATTTCATTTTATATCTTCTAATCAGAAACACTACTAAGGTCATCAATAAAATACTAGTAAATATTCCAATGTAAATATAATTAAGATTATTATTAAGTTAGGCTTTAGATTAATTATCATTTAAATAATCTTACTATCTTTTATTTCGTATCATTTCTTTTTAAATAAGTAAATTTATTAAATTCTTTTCATCATCACTCAAATCATTAACACCATTCTTAATTAAATAATCATTGACTTCCTTCTATATTTCCTCTTCAGTTTTACCTTACTCCAATAATTCCCTTATCAATTCTCTTACCTTTTATCTATATTATTTCACTTCCTATCTTTGAGTATTTTATTCTTCTTATTTCTTCACATCTTGAATAATTTCCTCTATACTATTGTTATTTTAGTCTATTGATGTTGAATTACCAAAATAAAATTGAATAAAATCTGTTATTTTTTCTTTTATTTTATCTTCTGACAAACCCTAATCTAAAAATTCCTATATTTAATACTCTATTTCCTTCATTTCCTATTCATTCTTCTCCTATATCATTTTATATTCTTCTATATTCCATGTTGCTTTTGAACTCCTATCAGGTTTATTTTTAAAACTTTCAATTTCTTTTTTAATTATCAACAAAACCACTTTACTATCGAATTCTTTAGATGGATCTTTAAGAGTTTTATCTAATTTTTGTGAAATCTTTGTCATTACAATATTTTTATCTGTAATATTAAGTTAACTAAAATATTCAATATCTTTTTCAAGTCTTATATTTTCTTATTCATTTTCAGTCTCAAGTTCAGCAACCATTTATATAAGAGCAAGAAATATCTTTTATTTTTCTTCTTAATTAGCCTAACTATAATATTATAGTCCTTCGTTTAATATATAACCTTAAATTAATTCTAATTCCTATTCTTGTTATTAAGTTAAATTGCCTGATATATGATCAAAAATTTAATCAAGTGCTTAATTAGATTGATCCCATCTCTCACCTTTTTTAGGAGGTGCACCTCTTCCTTACAAGTTTCTTCCAGATATTTAAAAAATAAGAATAATAAAAACTAACATATTAATAATTAATATTTTCTGATATTCCTCTTTTTTTATAATATAAATAATATCAAAATCATAAAATATTTTCATTTTGATATTCCCCAACAACAATTACATTATGTAACACTTTTAATTTATTAAAAAGTATCAATAAAACTCTAATTTAAATTTATGATACTAATTGTAATTATATAACATTTTATATATATTGTTATAAAGTGATAATGAAATATTATTTATATATTTAATTTTTATCGTTAAACTGTTTTTCCTATGACTAGTGAACTTAGTGAGGATAGTAGTTTTTATGATTTAAAATTTCCAAGATCTCTTACTACATCTGTGAGAAAATAAGGTTAGGAAGACTATTTTTTCGAATTGAAAGAGAAATAAAAGCAAATAGAGGATTTAACTTATTAAGTTAAATTAATGGCAGCTAATAATTAAACTCTTAATCTATAAAATTAAATGCAAAAAAGTGAAATTGAAAGATTACTTAGATTTATCAATGAGTAATAAAATGAAATGAAAAAAATGGCTTAAAGAGATAATAAAAAATAAATAAATACTAGATCAATTAAAATGTAATTAATTAATAAAATGTGTTAATGGGCTCAACAATTTTCATTAGATTAATAGATTTAATTTGAATAAATAGTTTAAATGATTATATGAAATATTTCTAATTCAAAATTTTGTCACTAAAAATTATTTCATTAAAAATTGTATTTCTACCATCATTTCAGTAAAAGGTTTCTCTTATTTTACTGATTTAGCCACTTACTTCTCTAAATTATCAAATCCATAAGACTAAAACTAATGATATCCATAAAATTATCTATTGCTCTATTCTTCATCTGTAGACAACACATTAATTAAATCAAACATAGATTCCTTGATCTACATACTCTAAAAAATATATTACTGGTTTTTTATATCTATTTTTTATTCGATCCTTCATCCAAGCTGAATTCGAAATGGATCTCTCTTCATTTAAGGTGTATTTAATATTTGGAGGACAAAATAACTAAAATATTACATCAATTTACTTGGGATTTAATATCGAAATACCTTTATACAAATATCATCTCTATATCGCAAAGTGTTTAAGTACCTATTATTATTCGATTTCTTTTATTCTCATTTTACAAACTTGATATTTGTTGTTCATTAAAAACAGATGCTAATGCACTTGCCATAGAAGGGACATATGGAGATTTCTATTCATTCAAATAAAATTAATTGGAATTATTGAATTAAAAGCTCGGTACAGAGAGGCCTTAAAGGAATCCTGGGATTTGTAAATTATCTTTAAAAATTGAGTCATCTTTATAGAAAATCACATTATACTTGAGTTTCTAATTTATAATTATGGAATTTGAGAGTTATTATAATCCATCATGGAAGTAGGTGGAAAGTTATACACAAAATAAGGATATTAGGGTTATTAGTTTTGTTAGTCTTTTGATTACGTCTAAATATCAGTTGAATCATTAAGCATTATTAATATATATATATAAATATTATAAGTAAGTGTACAACGCAGAATATTTGAATAGATATGAAAATCATTCTATATCCATTTGTTATTACAAAATTTCCATAACCTTTTTAGTACCTATAAAAGTTACTTCTAAACATTTAATATTGTGATTGTTTAAACAAAGTTATTAGTTTTAAAGAATATGTGCAATAGGGTAAATTTGAGTTGATGAATAAAATTAAATAAAATAACCTTCTTTAAATCTATATTAAATTGTAAATTGTCTCTTCATAATTTGTTTAAAATTTAGTCAAAATTTTCATATAATATATTAATATGATTTTCACTTTATTTATATTTTCCATATATAATATATTTTGATATACAATATTATTTGATTCAATCAGCTTTCTAATTTGAAATTATGCCTTATCCTAAATACTCACATATAACATCAAATTTATCAGCAGCTGCATATAGTTTTTCTTTGAATGGTTTAGTTTCCTTTGATGCTTCTATAAATTCTTATTTTCTTTTGAAAAACATCTATGAGTCTTAAGGACATAGAAGACAAGCTCTTTCACTATTAATATTTTATAAATATTATTATACGTATGAATGCAATGTTCATGATAAGAATGACCACAAAGGAAATGATAAGAAGGTAAACTCAAAATGGCATCACAACAATTACATTTAGTTGATTAGAATACTTTAGCTTATGTTTTTAATTTTTTGTATTCTGCTCTCAATTCTGCTGCTTTTTTCATTTTTTCTTTAACAACTTTTTGACAATCATCAATTTATTTTTTATCTTTTGATATTTTATTAGTAAAATAATTCTTGACTAATTTGAAATTAACATTTCTATTTTTGGACAAGATATTTAAAATCAGTAAAGGTGAAAGATTTTCTAAACTACTTACTAAAACTAAAACTTTTTCAATGTAATTTTCTGCACTATTTTCTGGTTTAGCAAAATATTTCAATGCTTATATCCAAAGATTTGTTTCTTCTCTACCATATTCACTACATAAATTAATAATTTAATCATTTTCTTTCAAACTAATATAGAAATTCAATAATTCCTCTCTCATTTGTAATTTTTTTAATAAGAAAATAATACCTGGAACAAAATTATACATTTTGAATAATACTAATAAATGATTCTTATCATATTTCTTTTCATTTTCTTAGTTTTCTAATAATTTCATAATACCTTATTCTTTGCTTTATAATTATGTATCTCTTATTCCAATTTTACTTTCATCTTTATAATATAATTAATATTTTTCTAAATGATATTCAAAGTATCTATGGAATATTGCTTTTTCATTTGGTAATGTTTTACAATTTTCAATTAAAAATTTCAAATAACTTTCTAAATATTCATCATTAACAACAAATAAATGTAAAAATTCATCTGGTTTACCAAATGTTATAGAAAATACTTTTTTAATCTCCTCATCTTATAAATTAAAATATCTCCAAACTTTCAATTCTTCAGGAGTCAAAATACTAATTGATTCAATTCCTTTTTAAGTGTCTACTCTTTTCTTCAAATTTTAAACCATACTAATAAGCAAAACTAAATTTTGAATTATTTCAAGACATAATTCTGGCTCAGCCTTCATTAATTATTGTCCAAACTCTTTCAAATATTAAGCCTAATTTATTTGTAATAATATATACTTTTTCATCTAATTAAATTTCATCTTTTATATACATCAAAGCACTCTTACAATCTTATCTATTCTATTCCTTATTATTTTAATCTTTATTTGTTTCAATGAGTATACTGAGATAAGCTTCATTTTTTTATCTAGATTTTGCTAATCTAAGAGCCAAATCTATATGACCTAATTATCTGCATTCTTTAATAGCTGTATCAATATCAAATAAATCTGAATCAAAACTAGATTCTTTAAGAAATTCTTCAAGTTTAGTAATCTATTTCTATTTTACATAACAATTCAATAATAAAGCTGTATGATTTTTGTCTGCTTATTTTTCATGATGTAATGCTGCTAAATATTAAATTAAAAAGTCAACATGTGAAACATCTAAAAACTTTCCAATTACATATGAAGGTTCTAAAATACCTGCTGTATTGATATATTATTTAATTGCACCTTAAAAATCATGTTAATCATATAAATGATCACCATGTAATCTACTTATTTCAGCTAATAGAGTTTTATCAGATGATTAATTACTAGCAAATCTATACATAACATCAAAATAATTATTTTTAAAAAAGATCTCAATTTTATGAGTATTTTCTTTTTCTGTTAATCTAATTAAGTTTTTCTCACCTCTATTATTTTGAGTAATAACATAGAGATAATCACCAACTGGAATAAATCTTTAAATCTTTTCAAATTTCTTATAATATGCAATATAATTGTTTAAAAGATCAAAAATAGTTAATTAAACAGATTAATCTACTTATTCTTTATCTTATCTTGGTGAAATCAACATAATTAAGTAATTTTATTTGAAAAATCTAATTTCTATTTTATCACCATCTACATTCCAAGTAGCTTCCTTCTTACTATCACTATATTCAACTATAGTAGAAGTGTCATCTTTTGGACATCCTATTAAAGTTCCTTTGGCTGTCAAATCAAATAGAGCTCCTGCTGGAATTGAAAATTTCTTTCTATTTTACATATTCTAAAAACAAATGATGTTAGAGTCAGTAGTACAAAATAAATTCAAATTTTAATCCTGTCTACTTAAATGTACAGATTTAATTGGTTCTTAATCTGTTTGAATAACTTAATCTTTGAAATCCATTGTCATTAGATTTTAAGATTTTGCTTTAAATATCAATATTTAACCATCTTACAAACCAAATGCCATAGCACTTAAGTCTTTAGCTATACAAAAACAATTAAAATTTTATAAGGGTTAACCAACTTTATTTACCAAGATAACTTTTATAGGTTCTATATGATTTTATTGAAATTAATTTACTAATATTTTGATAATCAGTTGTATTGGGATCCCAAAATTTCACAAAGCTACTCTTTTAATTGTTTTCACTATCAATACCAAATGTAACTAGTTTTCCCTATATAAAATGAATTTATAAATAATTTACATCTCTACTTTCTTTAGTACATTTCATAACTCTGAATGAATCATTATGAGGTTAAAAGAATCCTTGAATGGAATTGGCTTCATAGACATAAATTAGATTCTTGGATTAAGATGATAGGAATAATTTAGTTCCAATTCCACATCCATCAGATATTCCAATATCATTTAAGGTTGGTGCTGTTGGGTCACCACTAAAATTAATATATTTTTGAATACTTTGCTCTTTGATCTTGAATGTTTTCTTAATTAAAAAATTAAAATTTCTTGACCTATTCAACTTCTGTCTATCTCATACTTATATATTAAATATTAATTATTTAGTATTACTTTTTATAAAAAGTTAAAGCATTCTATAATTTACAATAGTAATAAAAAAAATGAAGATTTTTGCAAATAAAAATAAATATTAATATAATGTTTGAATCATTACTTGAAAAAGTATTGAATTCTGTATTGGGTTAATTTATTGAAGGATTTGATGCTTAAAATCTTCATATAGGTATTTGGAGTGGAGAAGTAATCATATCCAATGTTTCATTAAAAGCTGACATCATCAAAATGTTGGAATTGCCAATTAGACTTTGTTTTAGCCATATTGGAAAATTGAAACTAAATGTACATATTTATTAAAGTAATATATAGGTCCCATGGAAGTCGTTAACCAGTTCACCTGTTGAGGTAATGTTATCAGATTTGTATCTCATAATATCAGCAGATCATCCTGATTTGTGGTAGTATGTGAATTATGCTGGTTTTAAAAAGAAGATGGAGATTCTTGAGAAATTTAAAGAATCAATCATCTAAAATATTAATGACAAATCTAAGTAAAAAGATGAAAAAGAAGTTGGATATGTTAAAAAACTTGCCTTGAAAATAATTGATAATTTATAACTGAGCATATCAAATATTCATATAAGATTTGAGGATACAATAAAAAATGAGTTTGCATGGGGATTTTCAATTAAAACTATTGAAACATTCACTTGTAATTCTGAATGGAAAAAATAATATTTTGATCGAAATAAAGAAGAAAACGTATATTATAGTATTATTAATTTATTAGAAAAAAGTACCTTTATAAAAACTCTTAACATTGGTTAATATTGGAGCCTATTGGAATTAATAAGAGAGAAGATTTTTGAATTAATAAGAAAAAGAGGTTATTCTTAAAGAAATGGAGGAGATGATTATATCTACTCAAGATCCTAAATCTCATCCTAAATATGGTTAATTTGTATTTTTATTAAATGCCTAAGGAAGATTATTTTAAAATACTTCTGGTAAGTTTGATTCTCCAGAATTATCTTTATCAATAGAATTAAGTGGAATTGATATTGCTTTAGAAAATTTATAACTTCAATAAATAATTAGAATGGCAGAACTATTTTCATTGTATCAGAATAGATTAAATAAATAGAAGAAGCAAAGACTCTAACTATCAAATTAATAAATAGAAGATTAAAAATTATTATTTATAGGTTTATATGAAAAAATACTTAGAAGTCCTGATTAAAGTATTAAGGCACTTACAAAAGATGAAAATGAATTATTTGAATAAACAGTTAGTAATTTAAGTATTGAAGTATTATGTGAGACAGCAAAAGAGATGATAAAAGTAGTATAAAAAGAATTAGCTATTAAAGAAGCAGAAGAGAAGAAAAAGAAATCAGGAGGATGGTTTAGTTGGGGTAAGAAAAAGGAATCAGATTTACTTGATTAAAAGGAGAAAGATGAATTAACTTCTTTTATAGATTAATTAGCTGACTTTCAGGATATTAAAGATATTAAAAGACCACCTGATTATGTTTGGGTATCAGTTGTATTTTCATTAAAAACAGGATCAGTACATATATTAAAATAATTTGATACAAAAAGAGAAGGTATTTAATTAACATATAGTGGATTTGATGGAATTTTTGAAATGAAAGATAGTGGTATGCTTATGAAGATGGGTTTATAATTTATTGGAATTGATATTATAACAGAACCAATTTAGAATGGGATTGTATTATATAGTGAATAAAAGAGAATAGCATTTTTAGAATAAATAAATAGTTAGAAATTTATAGATTTTGTATTTGAGACAAATCCATCTCATCATAAAGGAGTTGATAAATATATTAAATTAGAAACAGGAGCATTAAAATTAATATTCAATCCAATTATTATGGTTAGAATACAATAATTTACAGATTTTTAAGTAAAAGATGAAACTTTAAAGAATGCAGCTTGGGATTAAATGGAAATAGCATAAGATTTGGCTACTTAATAAATGGCATAATCATAATTATCTCCATCTATTTTATTTATTGATATGAAAATTAAATCAACAATTGTTTTAATTCCACTTCCAAATACTTAAGAAAATTGGTTATTAAATATTGGTGATGTTTCAATTATTACACCAAAAATAGATGAATTACATTATGATAATTTTGAAATTTCATTACAAGATTTTACATTCAAACATTATAATTAGATTGATTAATGTCATAAATCTATATAATAAGGAATATATTTAGAGAATGTAGATGGTTCATATAGTATTATTTAAAATATAAGAGTAATAATTAGAGCTTAAATTTTGAGAGGTAGTTCTAAACCTCCAAAAGAATTACCATAAATTATAATTGATGGAGAATTACCTTAATTAGATGTTTTTATAAATCCAAGTATTTATTCAAGAATTTTAAAAATTGGAGAATGTTTTAATGAACCAATAAGAGAATAAGAAGAAGTTTTAAGAAAATTAACTAAATTATCAATAGAAAATGTTTAGACAGAAAGAACAGCATTAATGGAATCAGCAACAAAAGTAGGAAAAATATGGAAAAGAGGATAATTATTAACATGGAGTTAATATACAGGAGTATTAAGTGGTGGTTATATTTATTTATTTGCAAAACCTAAAGATTAATAACCTGAATCTCATTTTTGGATAAGAAATAGTGATTTTATTGATGTTAATGAATAAGAAGCAGGAATGAATAATGCATTTTATATTAAAAATAAATATGGTGATACACTTGTTGCATTTGATAAACCAAAGATGGCAAATGATTGGAAAGAGGCAATTGAATTATTAAGAACAATGCCAAGAGTTGAAAAAGAAAAAGAAAATGATGAAATAGAAAAAGTTTAAACTGAGAAAAATAAAGAAAGTAGACCAATGAATTTTAAATTTGTATTAAAAGGTTTTGGAGCACATTTATAAGATGAAAAATAATAAGATTGGTTTAATGTTGTAATTAGTGGTTTAAATGCTGGTGCACATTTATTTGATGGATCTATAAATTTAGATTTGAAATTAAGAGATTTATATGTAACTGATAGTGTTTAAAAATATATGAATCCATTACTTAAGTATATAGTAAAATCTGATCCAGATCCAGAATCAAATGAATTAATTAATATTAATGTTTAACAAATAAGTAATAAAGATAAAAGATATAATAAGAAAAATTTAATTATAGGTGTAACATTTGGTTCATTATCAGTTATTGCAAAACCTTTAGTTGTGGCTAAATTATTAGTTTTTATAACACCTAATGATAATTAAGCAGAGGATATGTAGACTTTTTAAGGAAAAGATATTGAAAAATAGTAATAGGATTAAGCAAAGAAAGAATTGGAAAATAATGCTCAATAATAAAATGTTAAATTTGATAACATGCAAGATATTATTTTAATGGATGTAAATGTTAAAATTAGGAGTATTAATGCTATTTTAGTTCATAGATTTACAACATTACCTTTAGCAGAAATGAAAATAGAAAATACTGAAATTGGATTAATTAAATATGTAGATGAAATGTAATTAAATGGATCTCTTGGTAATCTATAATTATTTGATTTAACTAATTATCCAAATACTTTAAGTAAAGAATCTGAATATACTTTAATTAATCCTAAATAAATGATTGGAGTTAAACATCAATAATAATCATTATTAAAAGTTAAATTAAATTTATTTAGTGAAGGATCTAAAAAGATTATTAATAATGTTAATATAATAATTAATGTTGATATGAGTTAATTAATTATTCATGTAATGATGCAACCAGTATTGAGATTACTTGATTATACTTTATAATAATTATTATTTGCCTTATCAAATCCAAAATAAACTATTAATCCTATTGTTAAATAGAAAGAAATAGATATTGAATAAGAAATTGATTAATATCATTTAAAAAGAGCTGAAACTAAAAAAATATAAACAATTTTATTGTCAGAAGATGAAACTGCTTATTTAAATAAATAATTATAAAATCCACCTGCTATGTAATTAAATGTTGTAATTAATAATCCTTAAGTTATTTTAAAACCTAATTAAGATAGCAATTGTGCTATGGTAATTGATCTTGGAACAATAATTGTATCTAATTAAAGAACAAAGGTAACAAACAGAATTATAAGATAAGAACAACAATTAGATTCTGTATGGGTAGATGTGTTTATATTGAATATGAAAGATATTTAATTATATCAATAGAATGGATAAAATAAAAGAGAATTTAGTTTACCATTTGATTTCAATATTAGTGTTGAGATTTTTGGAATGTTTTAACAATATTAATTATTTTATCCAAAAATTAAATTTGATGAATAATTAAAGATCAATTGTTTTATTGCCCCAATGATATTATAAATGACACATTCAGATTATATGTTTTTAATGAAATGTCTATTTCATAATATAGCTTATGATGATGGATTTGATAATATGATTAGAAATAATCATCCATAATATTTTGAAGCTTTCTTTGAATAATAAAAGTAATAAGAAATTAAATTAAAAGAAATGCTTCTAACTTAAAATGAATCACCATAATTATCATTTTAATTAGATTTAGAGAATTTTAGTATATTTTTATTAAAAGATATCCAACCTAAACCTACTCCCTTTCTAAGAATGATGCTAATAATGATGAGAGTTTCATTTTAGAAATGTAATAATGGATCTGCCAAAGTAGGTTTATTGATAAGAGATTTAGAAGGTTCTAATTTTGTTTTAGAAAAAGCAGGTTTATTTAATGAATTACCTTTTATTGGAAGTATGAATATTCAATAAACATATTCTTATGAATAAGTTACTAATTTAAATGGATTGGTAAGAGGTAGATAAGGAACTTTAAGTAATGCTAATTAAATTTTAAATATGGCTTCTCGTGGATTGTTAAGTTAAGGATAATAAAGATAATTGATATTTAAATTTGAGGATGCTTATTAATAAATTGAAGAAAATCCTTAATATAAATTAATTTTTAATTTATAAATGAAAATAACAGGTGATAAAGTTATTAATATTGAATTATCAGATTTTAAATTATAATTACATGCTGGTCCTCTATTTGAAGTTTTGGCATTAATTGCAATGGATGATCCTGAATTAACACCAAGTCCTGGTAAATATGTAATTGTATAATAATAATTACAATAGAGTATCTAATAATAATAATAATAATAATAATAATAATAATAATAATAATAATAATAAGATTAAATTTAAGTACCTTAAAATCCTTAATAAGGTAGTTTAATGATTAATGTAAATTTAAGAAATGTAATAACTTGTATACCCACTTAAATAGAATAAAATGTATTAACAGTAAGGGGAATATTTAAGATAGAGATGAAGATGGCTCCTCAAAGATCACTTAAAGAAATAGAGAAGGAAATTAAACAAAATAATATTGCTGAATCTGATTGGCATAAATTAAATGAAACAATGAGAATTGAAGCTAAATTATAAAAATTAGAAATATTTTTATGTAAGAGTTATGATTTGAGTAAAAAGGATGATTTTAAATAAGTTAAAAAGAGAGAAATCTTAAATCCAATAGATTTAGAAGTTGAATTATCAAAATCATCAGTAATATTATAAAACTTTTAAGGATTTGCTGATTTAACTAATTTAATTGGAAAAATAAGTCCAATAAATTTAAAGGTTTCTTTTTAGGATCTATATACTATTAAGGAAGGATTAAATTATTAATTAAGTCAAATGCCTAAATAACCTGAATAATAATAATAATAAGAAATTAATCAAGAAAAAAAAAATAATGAAATTTCATAATTAGATGCTTCTCATTTAAATAATATGTAATTGAGTGCTGTCAAAATAGACTTAGAAGTAGATTAAGTAAAAGTTATAGTTTTAAATGACATGGGTAATTGTTATTCACCATTATTTGATTATGAGATGGATGCAATTAAAGTAACATTTGATAAAAATAATCTATTTCTAAAAATTTAAATTACTTTACCATTTAAATTAAGTAATTTCAATCCATTATGCTCTAAATGGGAACCTATAATAGAGAAAACTGGATTTTAAATTGATATATTTTAAAGTTATTTAGCAGGTTTAGGTGGAGATATAAGCAATTTAATAACTATTGAATAAATGAAAGAATTTGATAAATTTAATTTAACTCTATCTACAGTATGTATTTAAACAGTTTTAAGAGCTTTAAAAATAATGGAAAAAATATTTAATAAATAATAATAGGAAATACATTAGAGTGTTTTAAAATCATTTGGTGGAACAGATGATGATTCAAATCATTCAGAGGATAATATTATTTAAGTATCACCTTATTCTGTTAAGAATTTAACAGGTTATCCTATAATTGTTGAATTTATTGATAATCAAAGATTACCTTCTTTAAATATACATATAAATTAACAATAGAATTTAATTTTTGATGATGAAGTAGAGAGGGCTAGTACTGGATAAAGAAGGGTTAATGTAACAATAAAAGCAGATAAAGTACCTTTTCCAATTAAACTAATTGATTTGGATAAAATAACATCTAGATTATATTAATAAGATTAACTTCAAGCCTTTGCAAGTGTCAAATTAGATTAAGTAACAAACTAAAAGATTTTGAGTTTATTTGCTCCTGTAGTAATTGTAAATAAGACTAGCAAATTAATAGTTATATCAATTAGTGATGACAAACATTAACAAACAATGAAGTTAAGTTAATTAAAAATTGATTAGGAATTGAATCATATAGCACCTATTCCTTTAGGATTTGTGAATCCTAAAATAGCAATAAGGTTTAGTGAATGTTAAGATTATACTGAAGATATACTTGTGGAAAATTTGATAAGATAATAAGAAAAGAATATTGAAATAGAGACAAGAGATGGGTAATTTATTTTGGTAAAGGTGAATGGAGACAATGATCATTAAGGAAAGATTGAGATAGAATTATAAACACCATTCAGAATTACTAATTCATTGCCTTTAGATATTTTTATCCAAATGATGAATCATAATAAAGAAACAACTTTCACAAAAAAGATTTGTAAAGAGTAAACAATAGAAGATTATTAACATGGTCATTATAAATGCAGTTATCTTAGAGTATATGTAGAAGGATATTATTGGTCTGATGAATTTAAATTGTAAGCTCCAGAAGAATTATAATAAAAAAATGATGATGGTATTTCAAAATTAACTTTAAATGATTCTAATAATAATACAACTACATTATTAATTTTTGAATCTTAAAGATAATAAGATTAATCTAAATTAACAAGAGAATATGTAATTCATTGTTCTGGTTATATTATCAATAAATCAGGAATACCTTTGAAATATTATACTAGTAATAATAAAAATGATTTAACTCCATTAGGAGGTATAGATTCTATAAATACTGGAGATCCTATAGAAAGATCAATAACATTATTGGGAACAGAATCTGGTAATATATTATCATTGAGTCATATTTCAACCAATTAAAAAATATCATAATTTCCTATATAGATTTCAACAATTGGTGAACCTGAAATAGATGTTATAATTACTAATGAAGAAGATACAAATTAATTATTATAAACCTTTTTAGGTGCTAAGTTAGATTTAGGAAGATGTAACAAAAAGTATACATTATTCAATAAGATAATTACACTTGAACCCAGATTCATTATTGTCAATAATTGTAATTAAGATATTCTCATAACTACAAATGATGATTCTTATTCTTAATCTGTTCCATCTAATTAAAGAATAATATTTTAATCTCTTTATAATTCAAAAAATAAAATTAGAGATCCTTGTTAATTTATTAATATGAATTTAGCTAACAATGATTATTCATTAAGTAGTAGATTAAATATTAGTGCTGTTGGCATTGTATATTATTAACTTAGAAATAGAGATAATCCAAAAGAAAGATTATATTTTAGTTGTGATACTCGTTAGGAAGGATGTAGTCTTTATATTATATTTAATTAATTACCAAAAGATTAAGCACCATATAAAATAGAAATGTTAGTTGAAAATTTAGAATTGGAAATTAAAGAATTAGATGTAATTATGAATGAAGACAATAATGTTACTTATTTTGCATGGGATGATCCCCAAAGATTATAAAAAGCATTAAATGTTGAGTTAAGAATTAGAGATGATCCTAATGGAGATTACAAGCCTCTTAAATATACATTATATCCAGATCATATAGGATTATTTTAAGTTTATACTTTTAAACCTGCTAAAGGATCTAAAGCACCATAAATACCAGTTGCATTATCAATTCTACCTAAAGGATGTTAGAAGTAAATTTAAATTACTAAAGCTACTCAAGAATAAGTAAAAATGTCTAAATCAAAACCTAAATAAGATTTTTTAAGACAAATTAAATAATAAAATAGTTTAGAAAATGAAGATGAAGATGAATCAAGAGCTCAATCAATATCCTTATAATCAAAATAATCAATATCTGAGAATAGTGATAAGATTGAAAATAGAATTAATCTGAAATTAAATTCATTTTCTCTATCTATAGTTCATAATTCAGATGTCAAAAGAAGAGCAGCTGAATTTTTCCATTTCACTTGTACAAATATAGAGTTTGTATCTATTTAAACTGTTTTAAATATGGTAGTATAATTAAGAGTATAATATATAAATTTTGATCACAATGCTGAATTCTTTGTATAATATCCAGTAGTAATTACTCCATAAAAATATGCATTATATCATGTTGCACCTAAATAATAATAATAATAATAACAATAATAACAATAATAATAATAATAGAGTGATAAATATTTCTTTAATGTCATGATTATTAAAGACAATAGAGTTTCTGATATTAAACTATTCCAAAATATTACCTTTGAAGTAGATCCTTTTGAAATTAGAATAGAATAATTATTTATACTTAATCTCTTAGAATTTGTTTCAGCCATTACTTCATTCTAAACTTAAATTCATGAATTAGATAGAAATTAATCTGGAAGTTTTATTGTTGAGAAACAATTTTAAGTATTGAAATAAGAAGAAGAAAAAGAAATTGATTACAACAATTAAAATAATTTATAGTCTTTCATATAAATTAATGAAGAGTGGAGAACAAAGAAATTACCTGATGCTTAATTACCTACATATATCAGTGAAATCATCATATCTCCAATCTAATTAAATTTAACAGTCTAAATGTCTGGTAAAGGAGACTTAAATATGGGTAAACTTGCTATTTTTGCTTCAGTTGCTTAAGCTGTTGGAGTTGTTCTATCAGATATTAGTGAAGCTCCAATCTTCTTTTAGGGATGGAAAATAGAAAATTGTTTTGATACTGGATCAGGTATAATGAATAAAATGATTCAATTTTATAAATAAGAAGGTATCAAATAAATTGGATCTGTTATTGGAAGTCTATCAATAATAGGTAATCCTATTGGATTATTAAATAATATTTCTACTGGATTCAAGGATCTAGTTGATAAACCAGCAGCCGGTCTAACTCAAGGACCTTTAGAAGCTGGATTAGGATTAGCATAGGGAGCTACATCCTTAGTATCACATACTATTGCAGGAGCATTTAGTTCAGTAAATAAAATTACAGGTAGTGTTGGAAGTGGTCTTGCTAATTTAACAATGGATGAAGATTATTTAAGGAAAAGAGAGAAATAAAAAATGCATAAACCCAAACATATAGGAGATGGTTTAGGATAAGGTGCTAAATCTATAATGACTGGTATTACAGATGGAATTACAGGAGTATTCTTAAAACCAATTAAAGGAGCAAAGGAATAAGGTATTAAAGGTGTATTCACTGGAACTGCATAAGGACTTGCTGGTTTAATTATTAAACCAATAACAGGAGTATTAGATGGAATGTCTTAAGCAGCTGCTGGAATTCAAAATACAGTCTCATATTTTGATGATAAACCTAATAATAACAGAGCAAGAAATATTAGACCTGTTTATGGCTTAGAGGGTTATATAGCTGATTTTAATACTATTGATGCAGAAGGTTTCACAATGATACATTTTTTGAAAGGTGGAATCTTGCAAAATGATAGATTTATAGCATCTTATTTAATTGTTCCTGATATTAAAGAACCAGAAAATAAATTTATGTTGGTGATTACATTTGAACATTATATTTATATGTCATTTAAGACAAAGAAAAAAGTAAAAATATTACTATTTATTTTTTAGGTATGGATTTTTGAGACAAAAGAAATAACTCATATAGAGATGGTTCCATCTGGAATAAAGATTTAGGTCAATAAGCCTCAAAAATAATTAAAAGTATTGTTATATAATAATATTTAGAATAAATATGTAACTTAGATTCAAATATCTAATGAGGAAAGAGTAGAAGTCTTTAAAAATATGTAAGGAGTTTGGGAAGCTTATCAAGCACTTTAGAAATGAGTTCAAACTCTTTTTATGAATGTAATTTATATATATTAAAATCATTAATAAAGTATATATAAATTATTTGTATATTTGTTCATAATTCTTTTCAATTTCAAAACAGAAAATGAAAATTAATTTAAATTACTCTTAATAATTAATCATACTATATTAAATAATTGCAATTTGAAAATGTGTTGAAAATATTCATTTAGTATTAAGAGCATAAAATTGAATTTAGCCATATTTGCTTTGGAAGATTATCTAGTATTAACTTTAAAATATAAGTTATCCTGCTTTATAAAATAATGATTATCAGATAATAATATTTGATTTTTAATAATAACTTCTATATCTTACTTACTTTTATTATTTTAGATATAATTCCTTTATTAAAATTAGCAAAGATTCCAATAGAGGCAAGGCTTCCTTAAAATTTTGCAATTATTTTGAATAATCACCTTACTACCATGGAAAATTGAATATTTCATCATTTATTGGTTGAATTAAGTAGTTAATTTATGGATAATTCAACTTTTTTGGTAAGCTTTTTAATTTCATGAGCCAAATTATGTTCAACCAATTCTCTATAGAATAAAAGTGATCTAATAGGATTCTACCCAACCTATATGATAGTGTCAGATTTAGTAATCTTGTTAAGAAATTTATAAATTCTTAACTCATATTTTTTGGATATTTTCTAGGATCTATGATAATAATCTAGATTAGAGAGTAGAATTGAAAAGCCCAAAAAGAAGGTAATTCAACAAATAGCTCATAAAGCATAACTCCCAAAGACCATAAATCAAATTTATGATTATTTTTAGACTAATTCTGGTGCACATATAAAGAAATTCCTTTGATTGAATAACTAACTTTTTGAAGACATAGCTCTAGCAAACCCAAAATCAATTAATTTAATTATTAGATCTGCAGAAATTAATATATTTTATGGTTTCATGTCTCATAAATTATTTAATTGGAATTTAGATAATGTAATACTCTAAATAATTATTAAGCTATGATTCTAAATTAGTTCTCTGATATTTTGCAATAATTTTCAAAAATGCCAAATAATACACCTATCCAAACTTAATAATATTCTCTAAAAAAAGATTACCATCTGTTTCTAAACAAAATTCTCTTGCAGTTTCAAATGTTTCTAATAATAATATGATATTTTCATGTATTCAATCTTTTTAATATTTCATTTTCCTATCTTAAATTTTCTCAATCATTTTCTAACTTTCATCATTTGCTACTAAATTTGAGAGCAGCAATCTAACTATTTCTTTTGAGTCTTTCCTTATAAACCTTAGGAAAGAGGCTTCTTCTCTTAAATTGTAAGATGTTATTATTTTCTATTTGATTTAATTATTAGAATATAAAAGGATGAAGGTTATCATTATTTTATAATATTTTTATACATGGTTTTTATTTGTAAAAACTACTTTTTATCTAATAAACTGAAGTAATTAACTATATAAATTGATAATTTCAGAAGATTGGGTTATAATAATTTGGCACAAATTAGGTTGAGTGAGTAGATGAGTAAATTTTGATCATAAAATTTGTCAATATAATTCATTAGATAATATTAATATAGTAAAAATTGATTAATTATTGATAATTATTTATTAATTGACAAATCCTTTCATAAACTTGTAAATTTAATTGATGGTGATGTTTGTCTTTTTTTATTTTAATTTAAGTTATAGTTTCTTTGACATAATTACGTATTACAATGAGTAGACAGAGTTGTAATAAATACCTGTCAGTTTATATTAATTATTAAAATCAGAACTCGATTCATAAAAAAACGGATAATAAATCCCTATTCTTATATTTTGTGTTCACATTTAGAATTCATTTATTATTTTACATTATTATGAAGAAATCTTCATTAATATTGCTATTGTTTTTGATATGTTCGCTACAAGGTAAAAGTAGTTAATATAGAATTTTAGCGTAACAGTTTGTTGAACTTTAAAGCGGAATTAAATTACAATCGCTTGAAGAATTGAATAATTTGGATACAGATAGTCTAGATTGTTCTCCAGGCCTAGAATAAGTGAGCAAGTCTATGGAAGCTTGGCAAGAGATACTTTCTAACCCTGATTAGATAGATAATGATATTGATAATTTGCGAAAACTTAAAGTAGCTGTGTCTGATTACAGAAAATCAGAAGGATAGAAGACAAGTATTACATAATTACAATATTTTAGCATTATTACAATATCACAGCACAAAGGGTTCTTTTGCATTTGTTTAATTAAGGCAGAGTGATAGAGATTCTTTATTACAATAATGGAGACAATATGGTCAAAATATATTAGATGGTTAATTGAATTTATTAGATGCTGCCTCATCAAAAGAAGATGCAGATTAATGTTGCGATAAAATTGAAGAGTTAATCAATAAACTTTTGAGTGAAAGAGAATAAATAAGAGAACAATGCAAAAAACCATCAGTATTTTATTTAAATTACATATCTAGATTACAATTAATATCATCAATTCTAAATCTGATGATGTACAAAGAAGAGTTGAATCATGTTCTAAGGATGGAATCATAGTAAACACAGATGAAGAATAAAAAGTGATTATCAAACCTGAATAAGGAAGTTCACCTGTATCTGAAGAAGAACCTGTTAGTGCCTCAGCATTAGTTAGTTCATCTGATTCTGAAGATGATGAGGACACTGTAAATAAAAAATAACCATCAGATTATACAAATGATTAACCTATTAGAACTAAAGAAGTTGATAATGGTGATGAAGAAGGATCAGAAGATTTAGTTGAATATGGATATGGTTATTGGGCTAGATTTATGTTGGCTTATCCAAAGTTCATGCCTAAAGGTAAAGATGCTCCTTGGTACTTTGTTTCAAGATTGTCTGCTAATAAAAATACAGATAATATTAATATGGGAGATAGACTATTAGCAATTTGGTTAGGTAAAGGATTCTATCATTTCACAACATGTGATAAACCATAAAATCAACCCAATGTTGTTAAGAATGTTGACTATCCAGAAAATTTGGATGGTGTTTGGACATACATCTACTATTCATATAGTTCAGAAAAGAAAAAAGCAGTTGCTTATATTAAATTTGGTGAAAATGATTTTAAGAAAGTTGAACATGAAGTTACTCATCCAACAACAAAATTTGTTAGATTCACTGTTGGTGGCACAGATGAGAAGAGATACCCAGGATTCAATGGTTTATTGAGTGAAATTTATTTCAGTGCTAAGAAAGGAGTCTTTATTGATAATGATGAAGACATTTAAGCCAAATTATAATCCATGAAAAGAATTCCAAAAGATTTTATTCCTGACATTGTAACATATAAAGTTACAACCAATCCTATCACAAGAAAACCAGAAGATAGAGAAATACACTAAATTATTGGTACTACTTCTAAACCAAAATTCCCTCATGAGTATGCCATAAGTGGATGGTTCAAATGGACACCAACTGATAAACAATAAGATTGGCACAACATCTTCAGAGTTTAGATATAAACTCCATCAACTGATAAATTCTTGGGAGATAGAACCTTATCAGCTTGGGTTGGTAAATCCGAGGGTGGCATTATTCATTTACCTACTTATACTGTAACTGACCTTGAAGGTAATGGAAATGCAAATCTTTTCAAGAACATTCCTCATAAGGATAGACACAATAAATGGTTCTTTGTTTATTTTGGATACTCTAGACCATAATAAAAAGCTAAAGCCTATATCAGATGGACAGATTCAGAGGATCATTAAGAATATGAAAAGGTTAGACATTTCACTGTTCCTAAATTTTACATCTTTGTTGGAAAAGATAAACATTTCCCAGGATTCAATGGAGATGTTGCTTTAGTTGCATTCAATATTGGAGAAGGTGCATTTAGACCAGGAAATGATTTCAAAGCTAAGAACGATGGTTTCAATGTAGTAATTGGATAAAAACAATTGTTAGGAAAATAACCAGATGATAAAGTTAAAGAAAAGGATGATGAAGATGATGATGATGGTATTACTACAGCAAGTTCTACTGATGATAATAAGCCTAAAATTGATGAAACCAAAGAATCTGAAGAAGACTTAGTAGAATATGGTTATGGATTTTGGGCAAGATTCTTAACTGCTTATCCAGTTAGATTACTTAATGGAAAGAATGCTCCATGGTACTTTGTCTCTAGATTGACATCCAATCAAAACTATGGAAATATTGCTATGGGAGATAGAACTTTAGCTGTTTGGTTAGGACAAGGATATTATCATTTCACAACATGTGATAAGAAATCAAACAATCCAAATGTTATTTAAAATATCAATTATCCCAATGACATTGAAGGTGTTTGGACATACATTTATTATTCTTATAGTGCTTAAGAAAATAAGGCTATTGCATTCATTAAATATGGTGACTTAGAACCAAGATAAATCATTCACAATGTCAATCACCCAACAACTAAATATGTAAGATTCATCTTAGGTGGAAAAGACAGCAATAGATATCCAGGATTTAATGGTTTATTCAGTTAAATTGTTTTCTCTGCTAAAGAAGGAGCTTTCCTAGATACTTTAGATGATTTCAATGATCACATTTCAAGAACAATTATTCCAGTTCATGATTTGGATAGATTATATAAGCATGAATTGGTTGAAGATACCATCTCAAGAAAAGTCAATGAAAACCCAATTTATGATGAATTAGGTGGTGGATCTTAAAAATTCCCTCATGAATATGCTATTAGTGGTTGGTTCAAATGGGAACAAACTTAATAATAAGTTTGGCATAATGTATTCAGAGTTCAAATTAACAAACCATCTACTGATAGATTTTTAGGTGATAGAACTCTTTCATTCTGGATTGGTACAGCTTAAGGAGGTATTTTCCATTTCCCAACCTACACATACACAAACATGAATGGAGCTGGTAATCCAAATATGGTTAGCAATATTGTTCACAAGAATAGACATTTGGAATGGTTCTTTGTTTACTTTGGATACTCTAAAAATGAGAGAAAAGGATTCGTAGGAGTGAAATTCACAGGAGGAATTGAAACTATTGAATACAATAATGTCAATCATTACTATACTCCTTATTTCTACACATTCATTGGTAAAGATAAATAATTCCCAGGATTCAATGGTAAAATTGGATATGTAAACTTTGTTTTGGGAAGTGGCACTTTCAGAAAAACACCAGATTTCAAACATCCTAAAGATATTTTTGGATTCGATAAAGGAGAGTCTGCCTTACTCAGAAAACCAGATTCAAAGAAACCATAACCTATTACAGATGAAACTGGTGAGAAATAATTACCAAATGCTCACAATGAAAATGCTCCTAAAGTGACCAAAGAATTCAGATCTGAAGTTTCATTTACTGAATATGGCTATGGATTTTGGGCAAGATTCTTAACTGCTTATCCTGTCAAATTAGCTAATGGTAAGAATGCTCCTTGGTACTTTATGGCAAGATTGACACAACATGAAAATTATGATAATATTAGAATGGGAGATAGAATTTTAGCAATCTGGTAAGGATAAGGATATTATCACTTCACTACCAATAATGTTCAACCAGCTAATCCAAATGTGATTAGAAATATTAACTATCCTGCAGATATTGAAGGTCTTTGGACACATTTCTATTTCTCATATTCCAATACAGGAAAAGCTGTTGCAATTGTTAAATTTGGTGATTTGGATCCAGTATCAGCTGAATTCCCTGTTAAACACCCTGATTTGAAATATCTTAAATTTATTTTAGGAGGAAAAGATTAAAATAGATATCCAGGTTTCAATGGATAATTCACCTAAGTAGTATACTCAACATCAGTTGGAGCTTTTATTGATTCTGTCGATAGTCACAAAAAATTCTTTGCTGACAAAGCTTCCCCACTCAAAGGAGGAAAAGTTCCACTTTCAACTACTAGAATAATTGATTCCTAAATTGATAGATAAGTTAACTCAGATCCAGTCAAGACAACTGTAGAAACTGCCTTCCCTAAAGAATATGCCTTTTCTGGTTGGTTCAAATGGACATAACCTACTCCATAATAAGCTTGGCACAATCTTTTCAGAGTCTAAATTGTCACTCCATCTACAGACAGAAATTTAGGAGATAGAACTTTAGCTGGTTGGGTAGGAAATGGAGGTATAATCCATTTGACAACTTATTCTTACAGAAATATGAATGGAGCTGGACCAAATAATTTGCCATAAAATATTCCACACAAGAATAGACATTTTGATTGGTTCTTTGTTTACTTTGGATATAACAGAAATGAAAAATAAGGATATGCTTACATTAAATGGAAAGACTCTGATGATAACTTAGATTTCAAAGATATTAATCATTACTTTGCTAATAGATATTATGTTTTCACTGGTAGAGATGCT